AATTAGGAGAACTGGCAATTGTTAGTCAATCGTCCGCGAAACAAGAACCAGCGTTCTGTCCAGAATCACTTTACAAAAAGAATCAAAACCCCCCGCTACGCAGTCTCACATTGAGCTAACTATGGAGGTCGTGCTGCATAATTCACGTCCTGCCCTTTTCACGCTACTCAGTCTCACGTTGAAATAACTACGGAGGGTGTGAGGTATAATTCACGTCCTGCCCTCTATGTTCCAATTGGCTCCGCATTTGAGCTATTGCCAAGAACTAAGTTCCGAAACCCAAGACTTGAAAGGGAGCCGTCCCTTGCCCTCTGCACCATCCTGATTTGAAATGAGCAGCTGTGGGTTAAAGGCAGAACTTGCTTTAAAGTAAGACAGCGTATCCAGGCCCCGGAAAAATTGGATTCGACTTGTCCCAGGACTCATAGTTGAACCCCTGCTAAGAGCCCCCGCACCTTCGCCTTGACCCTGCGAATTTGAGCAAGCTTTCTTATGTATGGAATCATCCCGCAAAATAAGGACCAGCGTCCTGACCCCCGAAGTCTTGGTATGTGTCTGAGCCTTGTGTCACAGTATCATGTGCATCTATGGGGTCAACCGCAAAGAAATGACCCAAGCCCGTCAGACTTGATTTCATCCAGCAAACTATTTGGTGAGTAGGGAGTTGGCTACAAAGCCACAATGAGAAGCCAAGCCCTACATTTCCACCGTTTCCTTGCCCCTGAGCTCTGTGTCCGTGTCAGGATTCTGCCTGAAAAAGAAGCAACCCCCACAATAGAAAGCCGGCCCCGAAGCGAACAACTCTGACGTGGGCTTCATTTAAATCCGTGCGCCGGGCTCTGAGTTTAAAAACGGGCCTCAAGAAAAGGATTGATCAAGGAAGAACATACTGGCAGCTACTCGTGAACGACATGTTCAAGCTAGAAGCCTAGCATTTGGCAAACACTGTTGGTACAGTCGAATTGTCATTGAAGTTTAGTTTTGCTGCTTTAACATGCGTAAAAACATGCGTGGGCATCGCGCAATTGAATATGCCCAGCTGTTCTCTAGGGGCAAGCTACTCCCAAATCAGCCCTTGTTTTACTGCCAGGGTATCACACCTTTGGACTTGCCCAGTTGCTCTGTTGTGATCAAAGTTAAGACAGGGCAAACCAAGCGTCATGCCGTTTTACCGAGCATTTGTTCAATATGTTTAGGACATGTATGAGTCAAGACCAGAAACAACTCACAATAAATCGAAGAGAGGCCGTTGAAGAACTGATGGCAAATGACTCACCGCTACCGGTTTTGAGAAGGATAAGCGCTGTCAGTGCTTTTGAGCAGCTTACACGGCTTGAAACTACTGCAAAAAACACTTAAGTTGCACTATTTGCAGACCTTCTGAATAGTCAAAACCATTTGGGAAGCTGCGGGCGGCCTCAGCGTGGCAACATCACATCGCAAGCATGCACGGAGGCAAATTGACTCTTTGTGCATGACCCATGAACAAATACGAGTTGTTCACATTCCCCGCAAAACCCGCAAACACTTCTTGAACTGAGCACCCATCAAGGGAGTTCTTTTGTTGGTAAAGTTGTCAAAGCCACAAGTACAACAACATAGTTTTCTGCGTCGACTTTCTAAAGAAGTCTTTTCGTCATGTCGCAAAGGATTAATAATGTATTTCCATGGTCTCGAGGAATGTCAAACGCACTTCTTCTGTGTGATTTGAAAGCAAGAGCGCGCCTCTCCGGTTTATGCCAGTTTATGCGTAAACAAATCCAAATAAGTGTTTTTGGCATACCCCCTAGGCTGCGAAACATGTTTTCAGGTCCTCGAGGTATGTCAAAAACACTTATTTTGCATTTTTTTGCCTTGCAAGGAACAGTGAAAACCAGCAAGCTAAGCCAAAACAGTACTTTGCCGCTGTGTGCCGGCTCCTGTTTTCTCAAACCGCTGAAATCACTCGATTTCACCCTTTTGTAGCAATAAGTGTTCATGTTTTTTTGATGGAACTCTCTGAACGCTTATTTGATTTGTCACCTTCACCGGAGGTCCCGAACACTTATTTTGACCAAATTACGGCAACATAAGCAAGCTAATAGTGCCAACATATGTCTTTGTGGCCAGTTTGGCCACGGGTGAAATTATGAAGCCAAACAACCATCCAGCTGGCCGTGTTTTCGATGGAGGGAGAGCCAGTGCCCCGGCGAGGGCTTTCAATTCTCATTGCAACATATCATTTTTGTTACAGTAAGTGTCTTTTCCTGGGTTGTCTACAGTTGAAGAAGGAAGAACAACAGTTTCTCCATGTTGGTTTCGGCGTCATGTTGTACTTGCCTACATAAAGAGAACTGTGCCATCTACCTTCACCGTGGTTTTAAGTGACCATTTGGAGGGGTTCTCTTAGTTGCATGCAATTCTGAGGATGTCACTTTAATGGAGCCAGTTATTTTGTATTGGTTTCCACAGTATAGAAGTGAGTTCTGCAGAGGAGCGGGCGGAGTTGTCCTGCCTCAGTTTCTCAAGATGGGACTGGCTATTGCCCTGCGGGTCTCTGAATCTCCAGGTGTGCCATCAAGCTGAAACAAGGGGGATCCATTTTTCTAGATAACAGAGACATCCCGCCATCAAACATGGAATTCGGGACAGGGGGTGGCTTGTCGCGACCTCCATTGATATGCATTTGGTCGACAAATGCTTGCTTGGGGGTGCGGGAGCTAACCCCTCCTTGCCCTTTACCATGAGTACTAAAATGCTGCTGCTATGGTCATGACAGAATTTGGTATCCCACAATCACGTTCGAAGTATGGCCCTTATACAGGTGCCTAGATGGTCCGTGGCTTAGCCAAATGGGTAGCAACCATGGCCATAACCCACTTGTGGGACTTACAACGCTAAAGTCCCAGACCATGTAAGTGGGTGACAGAGGGATACCTCTTTGAATGCTTTGGAGGTCCTGCGTATCGCGGACAATGAGGCAGGACTTGCCAATCGCTGCAGGGGCTATCCAAATAATATGGGCAATATATAACGAGCTCACCGATTCCGGCCCTGGGGAGAAGGCTCTTTACTGGGAGATGCCTTGTTTGTTGCGTTTTTTTGTGGTAAGTTGCCCAGATGCTTACTTCAGCTACCCCTGAATTGGTGCTTTGGATTGTTGGCTTGGGGATTTGAACCCTAGTTCCAAATGAAAAGAGCCACCCCGTAACGTCCAAACCACCAAACGCCAAACAGATAACACAGGGTATGATCACTTTTTCCAACAATCATGACCATGTCTTTTGGAACTCTACAGCTCCATTCCGACAAGGTCCTTTTGAAGCTGAGCGGCGCCCAATCAAAACCCCCCTCCCATGTCCGTTTTAGTGGCATACGAACAGTGCAATGCCAGGGCACGTCGCTTAATCAGAACAGCCTCCCCTCAAAGTCGGTTGATTTTTTTCTCACCCATTTTGCCGAAGACCAGTCAGCACCCTTAGGACAAAGGATTCTGATGCATGGCCTTACGGCTCAATTTGAACTGCTGTCCCCGAAATTTGGGGGGAGTCAATGCTGCTTCTGACCTGTTGTCAATCGACACTTCGGGTCAGCCGAGGATCCCGGTGTGGCAGGTGTGGGCCAGTCAATCGCAAACTGCATGACAATAAGCTCCCGGGGTCCAAAGTTGACCGGGCACGCCTGCCGAGATATCCGGTAGGATTCTACCGGGGAAGGGCTGTTAGTAGACACTTTCTATCCTTCTTGGTGCATGTTTTGTTGGGCTTTGTATAAAGTGGGTTTCTCCCCAACAAAGTGAAAGCTTCGTCTAAAACGATTCCTCAATGATTCCCATGACTGAAGAATGGGCACTCACAGGGTGTGTTCTTTTGGAGGTATGTCGGACTTGTGAGCGCAACAGCTGGATTCGGCAAATGCAGCTGCAATATTTGACCCTTTCAACGCGTCGTACTAAACGAGTTCCGATCCACCAAAGAACAATCATCCTAGAATCCCCTTGCTAGAAGCGCAACGTGGCATGGCGTTTTGGACTGGGGGTCAGTGGGGCGCCTGCATGCGAATTCCTCGCATCGAAGGTCTATGCGCTGAAGAAAGTGAAGCTACCATCCTTGTCCGACAAGGATGGCTTTTTCTTTGCGTGTGCTCCAACTTCTGATGCTGCTGGAATGGGGAAGGGCTCATGGAATGGTCGACATTGCTAGACTTAACTCACCGGTTTGCCCTTTTGTCCTTTTGGATTTCCTTCATTTTTGCTTGTAGCCAGCAAAAGCAAACATGGGGTGTAAGTCTCGCCAAGTCGCATAGGCAGCTGCAAAAACGGAGGTTGACCTTTGCGGTCCCCCAAGGGACGGTTTAATTTATTGGGTAAACCGACCTTTATTTCTCCTTCGACAAGACGAGTCTTGGATATGACAGATCACGACTCCCAGTTGCCCAACACCAACCTTTTAGCGTTACTGGTCCTTATTGAGTCAAGGTTGCAAAATGTTTACCACAAGACTGGAAGACTTGCATTGCAGGTTCGATCTGAGACTTGAGCAGACAGAGTTCCAAACATGGAAAGGGCGTCCTCTCACTTAGGATCCAGCAAATCCACCGACTTCAAGAGGTAGTTTGCCTCATCAGTCACGGCCAATGTCAATGAGGCATACGGCGATCGTTTGCGCAAGTTCCTTGCACCGCTGCCTCAGCGCCACTCAAACACCGGGGGCTTCTTCACGTTTCTTGGCATGTTTCTTTATCTAGGGGGCTGCAATCAGTACTCATAGCATACTCCGTACCCGAAAAATTAGATTATATTTTTTATTGAGGCCCTTATCTTATTGTAAATGTTTCCTTCGTGAGTCCTGATCATCTTCCTTTGGCTGGAGCGAAAATGTTTGCGCGCATGCCAGGTGTTGGGAACTTGTATTGATTGTCGTACTTGTTCCCCCGTATGTCACTTAGCCACACCATAGGACAAGCAGAGAGCAACAGCACTGCCACTGTCTGAATGTTTTCCACCTAGACGCCTACGCCTCATGTCGTGGGCAGATGCGGAACGCCGCGATGCAAGGGCCTTGGAAAGGGCAAACTGCAGGGCAAGCGGAGGGAGAGGGCTTCCTCCCAGTCCTTAGGTGGTTGTGGCCGTGCAACCCATAAGTGACATGGAACTCTAAGACAGGTGTGCTCATGTGTGCTCTAAGTATTTCTTAATGGTCTGGTGTGGATCTACTTTTTCCCGACTAAACAGGAGCACTCTGCACTCAGAATGTGGTTGGTACTCTGGCTCAGGCGTTTGTCTAGTTCACCTAGAGATGCCAGTTCCACCAGTGGCCAGCACCTCCCCGGAAACAGGGGTCCCTGTGCATTTGCCCGGATGCATTCGACCTGAAAAAGCACTGCACACATTTGGAGTTTGGAAGGCGCGGACTATGTTTGATTGGGGACCTTTTGGACATCAGCTGCACGAAATGGTAATCATATTTGAGGGTGTTGCCAAACATGCTGACCCCTGATTCAATTGTACGCCCCCCACTTGTTAGTAAGCGGGGTTCTTGTTGAGTTGCGAATCCTTCTTCCATGGGGCCCCTGATTCTGAACGGTGTTTTTTTCATTAGGGATTAACCTGATTGGCTCAAAGACAAACAGCTGAAGTTATGCAGGTCTCAGCCAGAGTCTCAGCCTTTGTTTCCATATGCCAAGGTGCCATTTTGGGCCAGCCGTGTAAGGCGTCCAAGACTTTCATGTTGCCGCGAGGCCGTGCTCTCGAAGCCGGCGGACCCAAGGCGGGGAGTGGTAAGCAATAAAAGCAATAGGATTGGACCCTTCTTGCCCAACCCAATCAGGTTGCAACACCAATCGGATCGCTCCCGAGGAAACGGGAGTCCATGCACGCAGATGTCCTGATTTGTTTGAACACTGTCCATTTCGGAGGGGTGAGCTCCCATTGGCAGTCACAAAAACCCGGAGCACTGGCCCTGGAAATTTGGACACCTGCTGTTCCTCCGACGAAGCCCTGAACTGTCAAGGGCTTTTCCAACGATGGGGTTTTCGAGGATTTTGGAGGCACGGGGGTAATATACCTGAAAATACTGCGTTGCAAACTTATTATATAGTCGCCCTTGAACGTGACAGTCCCTACATCGCGACTCATTTCTTTGTCGTTTGGTTTCCCTAACGCCAGCCAACAAGTTTCACCATTTGAGACACACAAGGAGGCCCTTTGGGCCGCTAGGGCCACATCAGCCTTCAAGCTTTGATGCCAAGTGCGCTTCAGAGCCATAAGCGGGTACTCTAGAGGACATGGAGGAAGTGGGGACTCGGTTTCTGGAAGGATGTTCTCAGTTTGTTTAGGGGGCTTGAGCAAATGGAGCTTGTTGGGTGGTAGAGGAAGACCACAATGACCCACCTGGCAAACAATACCACAATTGAAGATCCGGATGGCACATTCGCGCCACAACAAGAAAAACACACCGATTTTCACGGGGAGGCATTGCAGCTCTCCAAATGGACAATCTCTCAACACCGGCTTCGCCTCTTTGTGGTTTCACTTGAAAAGAAGCCCCTTTAGGGGAGACCGTCCAAGACAACCCCAAAGAAGAAAGCCGCGAGAAACCTTCATGGGTTGGCTCCCTTCACCCGAGCGGGATTTGTCGTTGCTTCATTCTCACTCCGAATGCTGAGCGGCAAACAACTGGTCATCCAAAAAGAGAAAACCAGAAGACACGGTAGAGGATACCACCTGGTTGACACAGAGTGGCTTGCCTCCGTTGTTCTTGGTTTTTTTCCGCTTGTGAGGGTTTTCCAACAAACCAACGCGGGTGTCCCTCGTGTCATGGCCACCGGAGGTCCGGGATGGTGTCAATTTGGCCCTCAAAACGTAGAAATGCTACAGGGGCTTTGTGTTCGGCTTGCCTTTGGGCTACTGGTGACGAACAGCGAATATCATCTATTAGGGTCCATTCGGGACCAACAAGGGCCTTGAACGAACTTCCCATAGCTCCCTTGTGGGTTTGGTTCTGTATTGGGCACATGCTGCTGGAGAACAGGGGGAAGTTGAGTCAACATGTGCAAGCTGCAGTATCTACTCTCTCGGGTTTGAGCTTGGTGAAGCACTTTGAATTGGTTTGCACGTGTCAAAGGCTAAATGCCATGTATTTCTTCCATTTTTTTTGAGAGACCGCTCAGCTTCCCACCGCTAGCCTTCCCAGTTTTTCTTGCCAACTTTCTCAACAGCAGGATCCCGGAAAATAATGTTGGAAGTACAGCTCGCAAGTCAAGTTGGAAGTCTTCTCCAGGTACGACCCTTGCTCTTTGCGAGAGTGGCACCATGTGAGCGCCGTTGGCGGTCGCATGAGAGATCTCCTCTCAAGGTATCTTGGAAAGCAAAGCTTCCAGAGCTCCGAGCCTCTACTGGGATGAGCCAAGGTTCAGAAAGTATTTGGGCTTTGGAGTTTCAGCTATGGGATCTCGTGCTCGGGGGCTTGGGGCAATGGCTCGGGGTATGGCAGGGGTCCATCAGGGTTTTCCGTTGCAAGTCCGTTGCAGACGGTGATCCACCTTGTGCTCGGAGGCTTGGAGCAACGCAGGGCCAACTCAGAGCCAAATATGGATAGGCTTGCCTTTGGAACATGATTCTTCACGTGAAGCTTGGCATATATCTTTAGCTGTTTGGTGCTGGGCATCTTTCATTGGCTGTCCAGAACCACGTCGTACCAAGGGTTGGACAGACTAGGGATACTTTGATGGTCCACGGCGCGAAGTGGTCAGACACCACAACCCAGCAAATCCATAGTTGTAAGGTTTTTTTGGTTAAAACCAGGGTTAGCGACCAGTCACAATTTTGCCCAGTCCATCCTACTGTTTGCAATCGATTGCACCAGTTGGTACGTGGTTTACCCCAGTATCCATAGGTTCCATGCATCCCGGTGCCGACCGGGGTGTGTTCCGTAGGCACCCCATCCGACGCCAGCTGCTGGACTGCCTGCTAGAGGACGCGACGGGCTTTCCAATGGAATCCACCAGGGAATCGCAACTTTTGGAGGGGAAATCCAGTGACTCCTGTTCCTTTTGAGTTGTAAACAACAAGTGTAGTATTTTTTCTGACCAATACATCGAGGAATTGAGTTGAAAGGGATTTTTTTGAGACTTCTCAAATATCTTTGGTGTGCTTGCCCGCACAAGATTGGAAGGTAATTTAAAGTAAGATAAAATCAGACTTCAAAGTTCCTAAGTCAAGTCCCCCACTTGGTATGTGGTCAAATCTGGTCAAGTCGCCCAGGATTCACCCTGCGGCCCCTTGTTCACCATTGTCTGACACCTTGAGTGCGGTTTGGTGGGAGGACCATTTTAGTGGTAAAGTGAGCATCTGGGCCAGCTAGAAAAGCTCATTTACCAGCTCATTTGGAGGATCCCCTAAAAAGCAGGTGTGTCCTTCAAGGAACTTTGTTTTTCTTTGAGGTGTGGCTTTCTTTGCGGGGAAGCCGAAGGGTTGCCCCACCCCCCCGGCCGAAGCAACAGGTCATGGGCATTTAAAACGTCACGTGCGAGTAGATTTTGAAGTGAGATTCACGTTGGTGAGGTGATGTTAGAAGGGAACTTGGGCTTCAAGCCAGCGCAAAGAATTGGTCCCAGGAGAAAAACCCAATTAAAGGCCTTCTTCGAGCGGGCTGTAGTTTTTGGACGTGCCTTGCAAACTACCAAAATAGCTACCCCAAAGGTTTACAACTGCTGCCTGGAACTCAAAAGGATCTTTGTGAAGGTCCCGGGCGGGCCCAAGGGCTCGGCCCCTCCATAGAAGGGCTTTTGCGCACCACAAAAGGGGGACCCTTTTGTCCCATGAAATCCACTGGAGGTCTAGATGCCACCCTCCCAAACATTGCGATCCTTTTGTTGCCACACACTTGGTTCCCTCTCTGTGGACTCCAGGGATATGCATCATGGGGCAGGGCCATTTTGGGAATATATATATATACATATATATGTATATAGAATATAAGGTATGTACAGATGCGTGTATATATATATATACACATATATATATATATATATGCATATATCTATAGATATATAAATACTATGTGTATGTTGTCCATGGGTGAGTCATACTCGAAACCCGGTTGATTGGGCGGGGGCTGTCCGAGAGGAGCTGCCCATCTTCTCCGCCACCAGCTCTGTGAAGCTACGGCAGGAGGCCCGGCAGGCGCCGAGACCTGGGAGCGGGATGGGTCGATGGGGCGGGGTGAGCCTCGTCTAGTTATCTCATGAAGCGTCTGAAGGTGGTCAAGGGCTTTCCTTTCCAGGTATGGGTGTTGGAAGTATGGAGGTTATATGCAATTCTAGGGGTACATATTGTATTACATGGTGGTATACAAGCGTCCATACCTCCAAAACACATACCGGGAAATGCCCTTTAAACGATGCATATCTCACCCCTTGAGTTGGACTTTCGCCACTTTCAGGCTGTATGTGACACCCCCCTCCCCATGTTTACCAACTTAAGACCACCTATAGTTGAAAGATGTTGACTGCGCTTCTACATGTCTAGGTGATTTGCTCAACCGGCCCTGGATGATCACGAATCAGAAGAATCTCCCAAATTAGTCGCGAACGACTCCATCGATTGGGGGCGGGGGGAGCGAAGGAAAGCCTTGATGACTCGCCGGTCCTTTACTTTGGAGATCAAGGACATTTTCAGGTATGGTTTTTGGAGGTACCATGCGTACAAACCCCCAATAAAAGCTTGTAAGGCGGCATGTACCCCTGATATATGTGGAATATAACCTCCATACCTCCAAAGCCCATGCACATACCAGACAATGCCCTTGATCAGATGAGCACTTTACCATTGCACGAGGTAACCTTGGCACACCCAAGCGAAAAGTGGTACAAGCCCGATTGTAGTAATACCTCGAGGTACAGGCAAGCTATTTTGCTGAGTGGCAACCCTCATGCGGGATTATATCGAAGGGTTCTCTCGAAACTCCCCGATTCGATCCGATTCCTTTCGATACATTTTCGACCGCCATATTCTGCAATTCCAGCCACTAAAGGTATGAAGAAATCTACCCTAAGAACAGCAGCATATTTTACATCATTTCCCCTGCTTATATACTACAATGAACATCGGAAGCATGGACAGCGCTTTCCACACACACACACACGCAGAACAAATATGCGACACATTCCCCTGCAACTTGGAGTGGTTGGAGTTTGTTTCCACCTGGATGGGTTTTGCTCAAGCTACATGACACCACTGGGCTTTGATGAAACACCATGTTTCTTTTCTCTTCCAGGTAACGCTGCTTCCCTGCAGAACTAAATGGGAATGCAAGAAACCTGGATTCATTCGGAATCGGACCCCTTTTTGAGGTTGTGTCCTTCTTTCTCCGGGGAAAAGGAAGCAACGCAACTAGAAGCAAACCTGAAATCCGCAAACAGACAGTGGGGCGTTCAATGGACGGCGCCTCCAATGAGCACAGGTTTTTGTCAGACCTGTAGAACTGTAGGTCCAAGTCGTGTTCATTTGGGTGGGGGATCAAATTATTTGTAGAGGCTTGACGGTCAAACGTGCGCGCCCAGAACGCTCCCCCTTCACCTGGTTTTCCTAAAAAAGAAGCCTGAAAGCTAGCTGTCTGTGGACTTTGGATCCCTTTTTTAATGGAGCCTTTAAGGGGTAAATACGGAAACCAAAAGGAACACCACCCATTTTGGGGTATTTTAACGGCCCAATAGTTATTGTCCTCAGGCGGTGCGCGTGGAGAAGCCCGAGTGCCCCCTGCACTGGATGCACCGCATGATGGCGCCAGAGGCGCCCTTAGTGGCGCTGCCTATGCGGAAGAAGGGCAAAGAGCACTGGGCGGAGCTGGTGGTGGAGTCAGCCCCATGGCCTCGGAGGATTTTGTGGTGAGAGTAGGCTTTCTAGTCCTATGGACTCATGCCACTCGTAAACATTTGTTTGATTCAGGACTGTACACTTGGTCCATTGGTTGAAAGTTACTGAAAGACTCACAAAGGTATGAGCTCGCTTCTCAGCGCTGAGCAACTTGGGGGCCCCATGAAAGGTAGAAAAGTGAGACTTTGGCGATGGAACAACAGCAACAACAACCTAAATCTTAGCTTCCCTGGTTTCCAAGACGATGTCCAGTTTGAGGGCTCCTTTTGTCCAGCTGATCCTTTGCAGGGGAGCCGATTTTACAACCAAGTGCCATAAAAGGGGCGACTTGTTGCCAGCGCCATGGGCCTGAGGTTTGGCAGTTCGGCGGATGCCACCCGAGTTCACTACCCAGGGAGGATTGCCGGCTCAGTGGCGCTCGGTTCCGTCCGAACACCTCAAACCGATGGCAACACCACAAGGCTAAGAAGGGCCCCAGGGCCATGTCCAACCCGGAACAAGCCCCAAAAGAAATCGACCGCAAAAGACACGACATTTCGCCGATTGTCCCGACCAACGATAGGCGACTTAACAGGGGCATGGAAATCCTTCCGCTCAACCAAGGTATAGTCAGCTTCATGTGGAGGCACCCCCTAACCTCCAAACCACCAAACCAAGCCAAGCCAAACCAAACCACACGGCGTGCCTTCAGGTGTGTGGGGACCGCTGCACGAGCATTCTGCTGGGCGTTTGCCCTGCGCGCCCAGACTTGTCCTCTGGGCCGCCACCCGCTTGCACGCCTAGTGGCACCCGCGTTTCCGCGTTTTGCTTGGGGAAGGGTTTCCCTTTAAAACAGGTCACCCCGGTTGCCCTTGATTTGTTTTTTTGGTAAAGGGCGGTCTTTTAAACAGGGACCCTGAAAGGATGCGTTTGGACCAAGTACTAGTAGATACACCACTGATGTTGGAACGGATTCCCAAAGGAGGTCATTTTGGGTGCAACCACTCTGACCTTTGCTTGGGGTGTGGCTTGTTGGGGAGGAAGCCGAAGGGTTACCCCCTGTCCACCAGAACCAGCCAGCCAAGCGGGCGAGCCATTTTGCAACGCTGCAGAGGCCAGGGGGGCGCGGCTACTTTGTGTCTTTGGCCGAGATCCCAGCGCCTCCGGCAACCAGGGAGTGGGGTGGTTGGGGGAGGCTTGTAACAAGTTGGAAGGGCTTGGCCCAGCCTTGGTGCTTGGATCCAACAGCAGCGGGGCTTCTGTCTTGAATGGCCGCGGTGCTGCTGAAACAGTTTGGTGACAAGGGTGCCTACATTTGGTTTAGAGCCAAGTCAAATTGACGATCCTGGCCCTGCAACTTTATTTGCTTCGGGGAAGGCTGTACTGGAGTTGGGCAACCCGCGACTCTCCCCAACATGCTTGGAAACATGAAGTGCGTTGTCTTGCGGGCGATTGGGGTGATGTAGGCAGAAGGTGTCAGAGATCGTGGATATTTTGGGAAATCGGTGACTAGGTTAATAGCCGGCCACTCACCCCGTTAACCAACCCACCTATTCAGTCACTCACCCGCCCAACCACCTACCCACTCTGTCACTCACCCAACCCACCCACCCACCCAGAGAGGAGTCTTTGGTTTGACCTTTGACCGAACCCTTGTGACTTTTTGGAAAATGATAATTTGCTCACTAAGGAAGCACGCTTTTAGATGATTTTCCTTTTGGCAAGGTGTGCACTTGAATGTGGTCGGCGAACTTGTTGAAGCCAAAGATCCTCCCCAATTTCGCTGTGAGCTTGACTCGTAGGGATCCGCCGAGGACTGCATCAGCGGGGTGCCCTACTGCACTACCTCAGCTCGCTTCGCACAGGGTACGCGCATTGCCGCGCTCATCACAGGCCAGGGCCCGGAGGATTCTTCGGCCTTTGGGCGCTCGGCCCATTTTTTCTGGCGATGTAAAAGGCGAGCCCTCGGGGTAAAACGAGCTTTGGTCTTTGAGTTCAAAGTTTCGGCTTCTGCCTGTATGGTCTTTGTTTGACATTTGGTTTTGAAAACTACCGTACTTAAGGGTTGCAGATAATTCTTCCCCCCATCTGCTTTCCACGTCAGTTGCCACGAAGATCGGGAAAGTATTTTTTGCCACCCAGGGCTTAAACAAAAACGCTTGGCCGTTTCAAGCTTGACCTTTTCTCCATTCCCGTGTTTCTGGACTTAAAACATTTCCCTTTCCGGTTTGTGAATCGTTTGGCTAGATAACTTGCCAAGTAAGGGGGCTAACCTTTGGTGAATCCTAAAAGCACATGTTGACCAGTCTTGTTTTCATATGCCCATGAGTTAATTAGCTGAGAACCCCGTGAACCGGTTTCCAAACGAGCAGCAAACCACAACTGAGACTTAGCGAGGCGACGGGAGCCTGAAGCTGCTGAGAGATGGCCGTGTGATCGGCACTGAGCAGCACCTTTTCACCGAGGCGCTGGAAGATGCCGAAGCTTGGCCAGACTGGCGGTCGGTGGGTGGGTGGGTGGGTTGGCTGGTTGGTTGGCTGGCTGGCTGACTCAGCCCCCGGGCTCCTACGGGAAACAACTAGACCCTAGGTTGTTTTTTTTCTCCCGAAAGCATCGCGAAGGGTTCTTCCGCGCGGAGCTCTCGGACCGACTTGCATAGAGTCACTTGCGCAGAGTGAAATACATGGAGCCAAGTGCATGGAACCAAGTGCATAGAGCCGTGCATGGAGCCAAGATGAGCCAAGTGCATAGAGCCAAGTTCATAGAGCCAAGTGCATAGGGCCAAGTGCAAATACAGCCAAGTGCATAGAGCCAAGTGCACAGAGCCGAGTGCATAGAGCCGAGTGCATAGAGCCAAGCGCATGGCGCCAAGTGCAAAGAGCCAAGTGCATAAGCCAAGTGCACAGAGCCACGTGCATAGAGCCAAGTGCATAGAGCCAAGTGCATAGAGCCGAATGCACAGAGCCGAGTGCGTAGAGCCGAGTGCACAGAGCCGAGTGCGTAGAGCCGAGTGCGCAAAGCCGAGTGCACAGAGCCACGTGCATAGAGCCAAGTGCATAGAGCCAAGTGCATAGAGCCGAATGCACAGAGCCGAGTGCGTAGAGCCGAGTGCGCAGAGCCGAGTGCGTAGAGCCGAGTGCGCAAAGCCGAGTGCACAGAGCCGAGCGCATAGAGCCGAGTGCATAGAGCCAAGTGCAAGAAGCCAAGTGCATAGAGCCAAGTGCAGAGAGCCAAGCGCATAGAGCCAAGTGCATAGCGCTTCGGCGTTAGCAGCTAGTGAAAGATTTGCATGCTAGGGCGCCGGGGCAGGACTTTGATCGTCGATCGGGATTGCGACCCTCTGCGGGCATCGGCGTGGTCGAGGTGCAAAAACTCAAGATTTTTTGCGATTCTTGCGGTGCCCGCGCAACCCTCTGCGGGGATCGGCGTGGTCGAGGTGCAGAAACTCGAGGTTTTTTGCGATTCTTGCGGTGCCCACGCGACCCTCTGCGGGGATCGGCGTGGTCGAGGTGCAAAAACTCGAGGTTTTTTGCATTTTTGCGGTGCTCGGATGAACCCTGCGGGGATCGGCGCGGCCGACGTAGAAAAACTCGGTTTTTTGCGATTCTTGCGGTGCCCGCGCGACCCTCTGCGCGGTCAAGGTGCAAAAGTGCCCGCGCGACCCTCTGCGGGGATCGGCGTGGTCGAGGTGCAGAAACTCGAGGTTTTTTGCGATTCTTGCGGTCTGCGGGGATCGGCGTGGTCGAGGTGCATTTTTTGCGGTGCTCGGATGAACCCTGCGGGGATCGGCGCGGTCGACGTACAAAAACTCGGTTTTTTGCGATTCTTGCGGTGCCCGCGCGACCCTCTGCGGGATCGGCGTGGTCGAGGTACAGAAACTCGTTTTTTTGCGATTCTTGCGGTGCGCGACCCTCTGCGGGGATCGGCGTCCAGGTGCAAAAACTCGAGGTTTTTTTTGCGTTTTGGCGGTGCGCGGATGAACCCTCTGCGGGGATCGTGCGTGTCGACGCGCTCTCGCTGTGGTTCGTGTTAGTCTCGGCGAACCCTCTGCGCGTGTTTTGTACTCGCGAAATGGCCTTTGGAAGTTTTCTCGTGGTTTGCGCGCCTGCTTTCGCAATCGTGCGGTTGCGAGTTCGATTCCCCCCTGGTCCGCGGCAAGCAAAGAAGCCGTAGTATGTGGAGTGTACTCCTGGCGGCTCCGACCGGAAAATCGCAACCATGAAGCGCAGACGTGTAGCGCGCGGAGCACCTCCGCAGCTCAGCTCAGGCAGAGCATCTTGCGCACAGATACAAGCGCCGAGCGTCTTGCGGACAGAAACTTGCACAGAGCACGTGCACAGAACAGCTTGAAGACAGATGTCGAGTCACTTGCGTGCAGCAGCTTGCAGAGAGCAACTTGCGCGCAGCAGCCTGGAACAATGCAGCTTGCGCAGACACTGCCATGTTTCCTCTCGTAGGACGATGAGATGGAGCTCTCATGTGACCATACACATTGACCATCGCCGCGCGCAGACACTCTCGCCGCATCGATTTAGGGCCAACCGTCCTCTAGTTGAACTATATGCGTTTTGCAGCCCGGCCAGGACTCACCCTGTTCTTGCATCAGCTTACCCCCCTTGTTTACAGGAAACAGGAAGCAGGGGAGGGTGGGATAAAAACTCCTGGTTGTGCTAAATAGCAGAGACTTTGTATTATCCCTCCAAAGAACAAGGGACAAACAATTGTTTTTCCTCCAGACCACCTTTTTGGCACATGTCGGCACTCCACTTGCAAAGGATGGACTCGGCCTGTTTCTCGTGGCGTGTGCTTTCTTGAGGGTTCCCCTTTTAAGGCTGGTTTAAAGACCACAAATTGTTGGGCCAAAGAGGTCCTGTCTACCCCCCCATTTGATTTGATGTCCGGCTCTTGCAAGAGCGCTATGCGAAACCAGCAACTCGGCTCAACCGAACACTCACGAGAGCCACGGGCAAGCCATGGCTTTCTCAGTCATGGCCTTGGTGCCTTTCATGTTTGCCCTTGCGGCAGACGCTTGGCTGCAAGAGATTTGCCGAAACTACGCCCAATACTTTGGGCGATACTTTTGTTGAATCCACCTTGCCCAAAAAAGGGTGTGTACTTTTGTTTAGGATTTGGACCCCCCATAAAGGAATTATGGGCCCCCAAAAATCATGGATCTCCTTTTGGTTTCCCTTTAAAAATACGAAAAAGGGATACCGAGCCTCAAAACGACGCCCAAATGGGACAAACAGCTCCTCCCACCCAACATGGAACCACGGAGGGTTGAGGAGACCATTGTCCTGGCGCCTTTTGGTGGAAGCCATTTTGACTGGGAGGGTTCCCATATGTCTGTGTACCTTGACACGTAGACGTTTTTCCGTGCACCCTATGTGGCTAAATATCACACATCTATTTGTGCACATCCCTTTTTCCGTTCAAACCAGGGGCAGACTTGCGTTCCCCGCAGGCGGAGGCGGAAGTGGAGATGTGCATGTTGCAGCACAACACGGTGCTCAGCGAGCGGAAATTGAAATACCCTCATCCATGGGAAGCGCACAACTTCACGGTGGCCTTCTTCGAGAAGGGGTGGTCACATGGAGTCAAGGTTGCGGTCTGAATCGCGTGGCGTACTTTTTAAGGTCAACCAGCGCAAGCGAACCTTTTGATGTTCTCGGGTCCGTCTCAGATGCAAATGTGGTTACTCACCATGGGTACTCACCAAACCCATGGTACGTCCCTGTTCTGTGGGCTCCCAAACCATCTCAGCATCCGTAATCTTCCGAACTCGGGAAAGCAGAGAGATACATAGATCCACCTATAGTGGAGTAGAATACGTATGCCACTCAAGTCACAGACCATAAGTGAAGTGGTTGTAATTCTTGTTCAGTGGGATCCAGCCAGGGTTGCTCAAGCAGTAAGTCGACCATCCACGTTCCATACAGAATGAATTGCATGATCACCATGGTAGCTATTGGCTTTTTGCAGATTTTCTGTCAAGTACATGAAGTGGATCTCAGCCGAAGGCCAGAGATTGAGACGCTGACCAATGATGTCTTCACCTACTTGGGTTTGCCCAGCACGGAGCTCGGAGTCTGGCAGGTCCCGTGCTACGAGCGCTGCTTCAATCGACATGCAAGCGTGCGATATTTGATCAACATGTGCCTCAGCGAACAAGATTTATTCATCTTCTTTTCAAATCACCGCGCTAGTGTTTGAAAGACTTGTGATTTATTTAGTTGCAAACAAGTCAGTGTTTTTTCTAGGGCGAATCCACTGAGAAAGTGAGTTTTGCTGCGGAATCACCCCACAAGGGCGCCAAAAGGTTGCCTGCATAATATTTCCTAGAGCTTCACTGTTTTCGGCATTTGTTTAGTTTTGCGTTGGTTCGGTTCTGCTCAGTTACAAGGGCGGTGCAACAAACATAGTTGCTTGGTTTCATCCAGAGGTTGGAACGAGGATTTCTAATTGCCGGCTCTCTTGCCATTTGACTGTCCAGGCCGTTGTTGTGCAAGATAGCGCGTGTCGAAGCAGAAAACCCGACAATTTTCATTTCAGGACTAACTGAGAAGCTACGCCACGAGGGCAACACTGTGTCCAATCTTTTCGCTCCGGTACTATCTTACATTGGATGAGTCTTTGGGGATTGATTCATTCGGGTTCAACAACGGTTGGAAAGGACCGCCATCATGCCTGCGCCAGCCTTAGCCAACCTTTGCTTTGTTTGTGCTGTTTGGTTTTCTTCATCTTCAATGAATAAATTTAGGGGTATAAATTGACAAAGCGCCTGTTCCATGGCAAATACCTCCTGTTTTGAGTCAGGAATTATTATGATACCTTACAAGTCAGTGTTTGATGGGAATCTTTTGATTGGCACCAGGTACACCCCAGAGGAGGTTGGCAAAGAACTCCGCAACCGGCCCAACCTCCGAGCGGTGGTTCCCGTGCGAAACCCTGTGCACATGGTCGCCGCGTCGTACTGCAGCTTGGGCAGCAATGGGCAGCACCGCAGGGTTCATGGAGGCTTCTGGTAAGGTCTTTGTAAACCGTTGCAAAAGGACGTTTAGCACAAGAACTTGCGCAGTGCTGGAAGTAATTGAGTGTGCTTTCTTTGAGGAATGCTCTGTGCATGCGAGAGCCAGGAGATGTTCCAGCAAAAAAATGGCAAAGCTAAGATGAAGCTACAAAGCTCGAGGGCTCGGGAATGGAAGCGAGCAGACACCGTGGCTATGAGCGTGAATGTGGCTCTTCCGCATGTGCGCAAACGGTACGCTTAATGGAAGCAATCCAGGAGTGCGCGCCGACTGAGTCGCAACCTTCCAATTGTGAATCCTTTGTCGACTTCTGGGGGGTTCGACAGTCACAAGAAGCTTGTTTTGTTTCTTTTCGTTTTTGACTTGGCTCACGGAGCCCTGTGTGCTTTCAGAGGGGGCGGCCTTGAAAAGTTGGGTGTTTCATTTCGAGATTTTATGACCAACTAGCTAGCTACCTGCCAGCTAAAATGCACCCTGGCTAGCTAGCAAATTGGTTGACTGCTAGCTTTTTGGTAGCTCAGTGACTCGCGAACTGGCGACCAAACCCATTGACTAGTTAGCTATCAACAATTTCTGACTTTGCCAAGTCCAGCTACGCTTTTTGCCTTTGAGCTCGAAGAGCGACGGCAACCCTACCTTTAGGGTATACTGCTGACGTGTTTTGCCATCATCCCCGGCATCCCATCAACCTTTCAAATGGGCCCCTGCTTTTGCGAATGCGGGCGTAGCAAGCATGATTGTGATCAAGCGATCGGGGCTTCCGCTGGGCCCGTCGCCCATGATGCGGAAAACATTGCAAGAACCGTTGTTTGCATGCCTTTGCGTTTTTGTTTGTTCGTTTTTGTGTGTGGCTGTGAGGGAATGCCGGGGACGCAGTCTTCGTCTGAACGGCTTTAGGTGCTGCGCTTGCCCCGGCATAAAGCGTGGATGACGCACGGTTGGGTGGGTGGGTGGGTGGGTGGGTGGGTGGGTGGGTGGGTGGGTGGGTGGGTGGGTGGGTGGGTGGGTGGGTGGGTGGGTGGGTGGGTAGGTGGCGAGGTGGGTAGGTGGGTAGGCGGGTAGGTGGGTGGGTGAGTAGGTGAGGTGGGTAGGTGGGTAGGTGGGTAGGTGGGCAGGTGGGTAGGAGGGTAGGAGGGTAGGAGGGTAAGAGGGTAGGAGGGAAGGGTGGTAGGAGGGTGGGCGGGGCGGGCGGGTGGGCGGGCGCGCGTGCGGGTGGGTGGGTGGGTGGGTGGCTGGGTGGGCGGGTACCCACAATTGAAATTGCCAGACAACCATAAACGCATAGCTACACCGCTGGCTAGCTGGCTGGATAGCCGGCTGACAAGCTGGAGCTATTCGCCTTCCTCTTGAACTAGTTAGCTATCTAACTTGACTAGCGCATCAACAACTAGCTAAGTAGCTAGCTACTGAACTGCTGGCTAACCACTCATCACTCAACCAGCTAACTTGAATTTCACGCTCGCATGGTCAGCGTTGGCATGCACTGGCGCAGACTGCCTAGATACAGTTGCATTTAGCCATGCCGGGCCCTGAAGCAAATGGGCCATTCGAAGTTGGCGCTGCTCATGGTTTCCTTTCTTTTGCGCGGGCTTGCCCTGGCTGCGCGTGGTTTCCGATGAGGCTTGCCGACTTGCACCGCTTTCTAATTTGCTTGGGTGCGTTCCCTTTAATGACCAACAGGAAGACAAGAAAGGGACTCGTCCCTGATTTGTTTGGACACCAAGTCTTTCGTGTATCCTTCAGGCTCTTTGATGAGGGGGGAGGAGACGGCCAACGCCGACCTCTGGCAAGCCCTGCTGGTGGTGCCGGAATCAGTACAAGGCCAGGGCCAACCCCATGCAACATGTTGAAGTCTGTGAATGAGTTTCCACATAAGAGGAACCACCCCTGAGTAGCATGGTCCTCCGAATTAGTCCATATTGGACGCTACACAGCCCTGCGTAGACAACTCTTGCAACCAACTCACGACACGTCTTGGAAGATGATTGTTTGCCCAGGCTTTTGTTTACACATCGCGTTTCAAACAGCATAAATATGCAGAAAGCCTCGCAAAACGATAGGGCGCCCCACCAAAACCGATAAGATGGTTTGTGAAAAACGTTTGCCGCGCTTGCGAATGTGTGCTCAAGACAGCAGCAGCAGCAGCAGCAGCAGCAGCAGCAGCAGCAGCAGCAGCAGCAGCAGCAGCAGCAGCAGCAGCAGCAGCAGCAGCAGGCAAGTGGTCCAAGCGTACTTCGCGTACGAGACTTGTGCTACAAGTCAAACGTTACGATTTTCAAGCTGGAGCTGCGGAAGTGTATTTGCGTACTAGACTTGCGCTACAAAGTTGAGATTTTCGAGCTGGAGCTGCGCGAGTCTACTTCGCGTGCTAGACTTGTCACACAAAGTTGCGATTTTTGAGTTGGAGCTGCGGAAGAATTCGAGTACCTGACTCTTGTACTAAACTTGTTGCGATTTTCCGGCTGGAGCCGCGGAAGTGTACTTCGAGTACTAGACTTGCGCTACCAAGTAGCGATTTTCGAGCTGAAGCTGCGGAAGTAAGGGTACTTCGCGTACTGGACTTCTGCTACAAAGCTGAAATTTTCGAGCTAAGTGTTCTTTGCGTAATTACTGGACTTGTGCTACAACCCTTAAAATAAGTTTGGTGAACAGATCGTAGGTGAACAGCTCGTAAGGCCCCCCAGAAAAGAAACGACAGAAACCGACAAAAACCGACAAACAATGAAAAACATATCAGCTCAAGTCCAAACAGCTACGGCACTCAATGATGTGCTACCAGTAATGCATTAGAAAAAGCAAACATTAACAGCCAAAAAACAGCAACCAACAAACAACAACAAGCAACAAGCTAACAACAAACAACACAAACACAACACGAGCAACAGTGCAACAACCAACACAATACAATAACACTAACGGACAACCACACTTACACAGACACAGACAAAGTAGACTTTCAAAGACATGGGACCAGCGACCGTTGAGAACTGCGAGGGACAGAGAACTTTAACGATGTGGAAACGGCAACCAGTAAGAACCGTGACGGACAGTTTCTAAGACATGGAACACGCGACCGTTGATAACCGCGACGGACAGAGAACTTTAACGTCGTCGAAAAAGCGACCATTCTTAGGAACCGTGACGGACAGAGACTTTCAAAGGCATGGGCAAAGCGACCGTTGAGAACTGTGACGGACAGAGAACTTTAACGACGTGGAGAAAGCGACCAGTAAGATCCGTAACGGACAGAGACTTTCAAAGGCATGGATTAAAGCGACCGTTGAGAACCGTGAGGGACAGAGAACTTAAACGACGTGGAAACGGCGACCAGTAAGAACTGTGACGGACAGAGACGTTCAAAAGCATGGGAAAACCGACCGTTGAGAAGCGTAACGGACAGAGAACTTAAGCAAGTTTGGCCACCAATCTGTTCATAAATTACATCAGATTCAGCTTTGTCAAATTTTGTGAGGCCTGACGGTCCTCACTGACAAAAGGTTCAACATTGTTGCCCAAACAATCAATGGGTTACACTGTTATTTCATTGGGCACAGTCAGTCAGTGACATTGGCTGGCAAGTGACTGAGGTTCAATGAAAAGTAAGTTTGATTTAAAAGCCCCACTTAGACAGAGGCTGCTGATCCTGCAAAATTACGGTCATTAAAATGCAGTCTCCGCAGAATAACGGTCAGATCGATAGAAAAATCAATTTTAGTAAAGTTAAAGTCTCCGCAGAATTGTCAAGTGTTATTTGATATTACATGTCATATCATGGCATCGCCTGTTTATAACCGATGTTCAACACTGAGACCTAGCACTACATTACACTACATTACACGCATACACACATACCTACCCACATTACATACATACACGCATATACACATCGATGCAGGCATACATACATTCCACTACATCACATCACATCACATTAGCTTACCTTACCTTACCTTACAATACATTCCATTACGCTACATTGCACACATACATACACACATACTGGTCGCTTTTTCCACTTCGTTAAAGCTCCCTGTCCCTCGCGGCTCTTAACGGTCGCTTTCTCCATGTCTTGGAAAGTCTCTGTCCGTCACGGTTTTTGCTGGTTGCTTTTCCCACGTACTGTACCACGGTCAGATCGTCATCAATGTTAGTCTCCGCAGAATTACGGTCAGATTGTCATCAATTTCTGGAATGACCCGGTGGTTGCTAAGTGCTATCATTGTTGACTGAAATGCTATATACTTATAAGGTCGTACGAACATGTTTACAAGTCATGTAACCAGGTTGCAAGTTGTATAAGCACAGTGTAAGGCCAACAAACACTTATGTTGAGTAGCGCACTTAGCCACAAGCTTGGCTAAGTAGCATAACTTCAAGGGTTAAGGCTCATCATCAAAAACAACCATGGTGCAATTTGAGGGGCTCACATGATATTGGCCTCACATGCTTTGGGCATCACATGATTTCGGCTTGGCATTGTCTGATGCATGCAGCTTGGGAAGCTCATGAATTTGAGAGCTTGGGGGTGTATCAATTGGACTCCATGGTGGAGTTGCAGAATTGTGTGGCATGGCTCAAAGGGGAGTTACAACTTGGCCTTCCCAGCCCCAGCCAGTGGCTCTGCAGGTGCTGACCTGCAGCCCCCAGTGCAGCTGTTGCACCTCCCCACCATGAGGCCTTGCCCATGGCCACAAAGCAGGGCTGGATGAACAAGATGACCGCAGTGGCGTTGGCTGTTCATGAAGGCAATCAGCCGCGACACAACTAACTACCTAATCCAGCAGCATATTGGCAACATTCAGGCTTATTCCTGCTAAGTGATTCAACTAGCCATGTGGCTTTTGCATGCATTCAACATGTGTTGTCAAATAGTTAGCCAGCTTGGCTGGGATTGGACATCTACTAGCATGGCAATCATTGGATTTCATGATTGTGATGATGGCAACTGTGGCTTATGTGTCAACAACAAACGTCACAGCTTGCAAACATGTAATTTCAAGCCTTCAGGCTAAGCCATGTGTGCATGCAATGTCACCAATAGACCAAGCCTGGTGGTGCAACATTCCCAGCCCTTTGCAGTGCAGTCTCTGCACACGTGAGGTTTCTGCAGAACTCAGCCTTCAGGGCATTGGTAGTTGACCACCGGGTCAAATCCAATGAGTTCGACCACAGGTATGACTATTAGTCATACCAGTGAGGGCTTTTTTGCGCAGCCATCATCCATCTTGGCACACATGCCAAAAAGTACGCAATTTGCATGCCAAGGGCATCATGCCTTTTGAATAAACATCGATATAAATCAATACACAGTTGGCTATATATATATATATCTGTATTGTCAACATTGTTGGTGTGTGTGGAGTGGCTCACATTTCACACACAGCTGACCAATTGGTTGGGCATAGTGACAATTGATTGCTCCATTGAAAGGAATGTGTGTATGTTGCCAAAGCCAAATGTATGTGTGGTTTGGGAAATGTATCTCTGTTTTATGATACAATTCACCGCCAGAACTCGTGGTACTTCAAATTTGTAGTGCACTTCAGGTGCAGGAAATATGGTACCTAAATTTCACAGTGAAATTCAGGGGCAAGAGTTATGAGACCTAAATTTCACAGTGAAATTTAGGGGCAACAATTCTGGTACCTAAATTTCACAGTGAAATTTAGGGGCAATAATTATGGTACCTAAATTTCACAGTGAAATTGAGGGTATGTAAGTATGGTACCTGGATTTCAACATGAAATGCGTGTGTAACATTTGAATTACCTAAATTTCAGCCTGAACTGGGGGTTGAAATTAGGTATGATACATGTACATCAGTATGAACTGGCAAGTGATCCATTGACTGTCCTTGAATAAACCAGTATGAACTGGGAAGTGTTCCATTGACTGTCTTTGAAGTACTAGATCCAAGGGCATGGTGGGTTTGATTATGTGTACCCGGCTGATGGATTGGTTGTTTTGTTAGCTTCTGCTAGTTATTGAGTAACTAGTTGTTGAGACCCACAAGCTGTGTGTGGAGATTACAGTGTATCACCTTTGTTATGTATGCCCTATAATCGTTGTTGCTGTATGATATTGGCACATGATTGTTCTGGTGCTACCCCCTTTGAACACATCAATGATACCCCCAGCCAAGTGCCAACTTGTCTGCATTGTTTGATGTAAATTTAGCCACTACATGATTGTATGGATATGTTCCCATGAGTGACACAGTGCTTTTCATTTCATTGGGGCATTGCAGTTATGTGTGCAGGCGCCTTTGCATAGCTGACCTCCTGGACATGTGGTTTGATGTGTACTGCACCTGTCAGTGATGGTTATGTCTAACACATTTGCTTCCTGTTAGGTAGCAGGCCATGGTTTAAGCATGCCCTATTCAGTGATGTGATGTGCTTGCAGGTCAACACCACTGTGTGCTGCTTGCTTTGCCAAGGTTGTTTGTGTTTTTGCTGCATGATGGGAGTGTGTTAAGTGCAAAGTTACATTTGGGCTTGTCCTGAGGCGGGCAACCCATTGCCAAGAAGAGTCTTCTTGAGATGCTGAGGTCCCCACAGGCATGTTTGGACTCCTGTAGCAGCTCTGTCAAGCTTTTTCTTGGCAGGATGCTAATGGAAGCTGCATTGGGCAAAAGGCTCAATCTGCAGATTGGTTTCTTTGAGCCAAGGGCAAGGCTTTAGTGCCACATGCCTGGTGGCCAGCCAAAAGATACATACAAAGAGCAGCTTGCCATGAGTCATTTGAATGTGTCTTGTGAATGCATGCTGCACAACTGTGACACATCCAAGCTTGTTGTCTCATGAGCCTTTGCAGGCTAG